AGGAGGAGTTTACTTTTCTATATAAGTCAATAGGAGCCAAAGTGAGATGAAGCAAAACCTCATCCATGAGCACTTTTCTTCCCTATTTGGCTTCATTGAACTACGCGCTTAGCATTGACAATTAATATACAGTCCATGAGTCAAACAAATAGTCATGAAGATATGCCTGTCAAATGGTATGGATCATCTGACACATCAGTATTAAGCATGTATACGGAGTCCGTGTTGCGCACGAGTGGAGTGCAGCCAATTACAAAGACTCATTGTGAGTTGGAGGGGGCCTGAGGGGAGGTGGCCAGTCTGATTGGTTAAGAGTATTGTGTCTCACTTTAGCCATTCTTCCTCTCACTGAAGATGTCATTAAAGCTCTACTGCACTCACACTCCATGTTGAATGTAAGTGGGGATCATCTGAGGACTGTGAGAAGAAAACTTTTAGCATTTTTACATTGACCAAAAACCAGTGCTTTTCACACAACATGGGAGTGGCCTTTGTAAAAAAGACCCTCCTTCTATCCTACCCTTTTTGCCGAGGTGTGGTCAGTGTGTACATGCGGTTCAACAATGCGGGTACTTCCACAAAAACACACAGTTTTGGGTTAGGTGACGGAGCTACACACGGGTGACATGAGGGACCATACTTTGCAAGGACAGCGTAGCAAGCCGTTCGTTGTACATTGATCATTGTTCTTCATAGGTAAACAAATACTTTACCAGGACTATATTGCTCCATGATTGCTGCAGTCCATTATAATGTGATTCCCTCTGATCCTGGATGCTCGTGCTGTGACTTTAGAGGACTCAGTCCAATATTGGATCTAAATTCCAGGACGTTTTTCCTGACTTGATAAAATGCTTTATTAATCATCAAGAGGATAAACTAAAGGGTTAGGACTGACTCACGTATGCATTACTTATTTTTAATGACTGCATATAGCATGCCACATAGCGGTAATACTCTGTGTTGACTTATAGCCATTCCCTGCTAAATTCACCAGCAGGTTAAAACACTAGTTGTTTGTAAAACCATCTATCACTACTGCTTAACCAATTGTTGGTTTTCTAGGATGTGATGGTGTTTTAAATAATTGATGAGAGAAGAGAAGGGCTTCACTGTTCACCAAGAGGAAGAGTTTCACATGAATCTTTGCACAGTTTCTGTCTTGAAATACCATCATTCCACACAGGAAGGTATCCCTTAGGATTAAAAGCAGCTCATTGGCTGTGGATTGTTTCCTGTTGCATACAATAGGTCTGATTGGGTCATAGAGCAGAGCACGATATGCGGTACATTCCAGTGGTTTATGAATGTTTGTATTGTATAATGAAACATAATTATACATGCCCACTTCAATATACATGAGCATGTTTACAGGCAGGATACAGGATTACATGCCTGTATGTATTTAGAGCATGCCTACTTTATGGAGGCTGACCTGTCACCATAAAAGAAACACTAGCTCCATAATCGCCGTAATACTTGCTTGGTGTAAACCTTTGCTGGCTTGGACGCCTGCTTTCATTATTAAAAAAACGATGTACACCTTGTGTAGCATGTAAATGCAGCTGTAATTACTATGCAAGTGAAACGCTTTGGATTGCAGCATAATAACATGCTTGAGTTCAGCCAATCACAGTGTTTTGTTCAGATTGAGTCATCCTGGCTGAGCATGTCTGAGGTCACTATGACAAGAAGACTCTTGGGTGCAGCTATCTTTAGGAGCTCTCATGTGAAGGATTACGGCTGTAGATATAAAGACTCTGCTATGGAACTTACTGCTGTAGCATAAAGCATTATTTCAGTTAGAATTTATAGAGGTGACTTCTTTCAAACTTTAGTGTGCAATTTTAATGATCATGCATACCACTGTGACAAGGTGCGTGAAGTTGTACAAATGTTGGCTTGATCTGGCCAAAGTGTCCTACCTTGAACCCCTTCTTTCCTCGCACTACTCCTCCCTCTTTTCTCCCCTGCTGTGGGTCTCCACAGGCACATGAATGGAAGTCTTTATTCCCGGGAGAACTGGTGGGAAGTACGAGAGAAACCCAGAGTAGCGATGGGAGGGGGACTGAGAGTAGAGCAGCACAGCACCACTTTTTTCTGCCATCGCGTTTCCCTCCTTTTTCCCAAAAGGCCCCCAACCCATTCCTCTCTCCTGCCTGAGTGGGGTGGACACAAAGCCATGTTAGTATTCATAGTGTTTGTTTGCAGAGGAGCTGTGTGTGCGCAGGACTGTCAGATCACAGGCAAGATGAGGCAGTGAATGGGTGCGCGGGGTACACTGCTCAGAGGAGGTGTAGTTCCCACAGGGAGAGAATGGTCAGATCCAAAAGAAAGAGTAGGGACATAGAGTTTGGCGTCACGGTGGCGTCACGGTGGGGGCACGCTGCACCAGGCCGAGCAGCACAACGACAAGGAGCGAACAGGAGAGAGAGGACCATATAGGCTTAAACGGGTCTAGGCAACGCGCTCCTGTTTTTCTGCTGGTACCCCCCTCTCTTTCCCTTACTCTCTCCCTTGCTCTCTTTGTGTGTGCGCCTGGACAGCTGCCCAGTTCCATACACAGGGAAAAATGAAACACTCTAACCACCGGGCGTGCAGCCAAATAAAAGGCTGCGAAAAACTATTTGAAGGGCAGTAAGTGTGTATGTGTGTGAATGCGCTCTGGTGTATACATGGGTATATATACTGGCTTGTGAAATCTGGGTGTGCCTGTTTTGGGTGTTCTTCCTCAGTATTATGGCAAAGCAGGTCGTACGAAAGGTTGGAAAAAGAGGAAAGGGTAATAGGGCTATGAGTGTCCAGGCCAAAGAGCTTGTGCTTTTTTTAGTCAGGCTGGTTGACTGTGAAAATGTGGGTTGAGTTGTGTGATTAGGGCACTTAATCACATGTTACCCATGAACTGGCTTATTTGTTGATTACATCACCAGAGCTCTTTTCACACACAGCCCTAAAGCTGCCATTGTTGCACAGTTGTCTTTCTCTGAGATTGGTCAGTGTTGTTAGGAAGGCAGTGCCGATTCAAAGCAAGATATCCCTGGAAAGGTTGTTGACCTAGCTGTGGGTGTAACCTTTGACTTATGATCACAGTCAGGAGATGTGTGTTGAGCCTCAAGGCAGAGCACCGTGTTATTTTAGATCAAATGGTTCAAGGCATTTGCACACATTACACTGAAGCCTGTTCGTATAAGGGAACTGTGTCAGGATTGCAAGCCTCTTTGCTTTTTAAGGGTCAGAGTCTCAGTAATGGTACAGTACACAAATTCCTGCCCGCTGCCCCCTGCTGCAAGCCACAAGTACCACACAATGAGACTGTCTGCCAGATGTTGTGTGTATACAGAGCAATTACACTATTTTTCAAATTGATGATTTGATCAGACATATAAAAAATTATTTTATTCATTTTTGGGTTTTTTTGTGGGTGGCAAAGAAACAAAAAGGAGATATGGTACAGGACCAAGAACAAAAAGCTGAACGTGTGCCAGCTGGAGAGAGGGTCCAAGCTGCTCAATTTTATCTTTTTCCTAGACTTGTGTTTGCTTCCTGTCTCGCAAAGGTGTCTGTAGACACTTGTGGTGTTGGCTCAGTGTTTATTTGTCAGTTTGTGGGAGGATACATTTCGGTTGTTATTATTGAGTAGGAGACACATCCTACATCCTTTTTCTTCTATGTTTTTAACCTGGAGCAGCAGGCATTCTAGGACAGGTTAAATGAGAAGTCACTGGGTATTGGGTGTTGGTCACGTATCCCATGAAGACTTCTCGTGTATCCTCTCATGTTTCACTGACCAGACACATTCACACTTAAGTTTGTGGGCAAGTGTGTTTAGGATAGTTTATTGGCTTTGATGTCCATTTTCTAATTGTATTTCCATACAAAATTCTAATATCTGAATTTACCTGAGTAACTACGTAAAAGCATGCTTTCTATAGTAATATGAAGGAAAATTTACAATTGGATCATGACTGTACAATCAACTTTACAGTAGCGTACAGCTCTGGCATTGAAATGACGTTTGATAAGCTCTTTTACCACCACATCATCCCAGTCAACAAACAATACTAAATTCAAAAAATAAAGTGTATATAATCAGTTCTAGTCAAAATGTGCAGATATGGGGTACACATTAAGCTCTTCCTAATGTGATTGATTATACATCTCAGAGGTATTTAACGTTGTGCATGTGTTATGATATTTGTCAGAGCTGTTCAGATGTATACATTGTGTTGTGCTGCATGCCTGTGCGTACATGCTGAGAGGCAGGCCTGTGGTTAGGTTACATATCCCTGCAGCGCGGCAGAACAGTGTCTTGTTGCGTCACACTGAGTCTGTTAATAACAGGCTAAACCACAAAGGCCATCCGCCGCTCTATTTCTCATCTTCTGTGAGCCAAGGCATTGATCATGTTGCTGTGATACAATAAGCCCCAATGTTGTCTGGATACAAGCACACAACTGGACATGCTTTATGATCCATTTTTCAAAGTTACTCTGAATGCATGTAATTATGTTGAGTGATAATTTTGCTGCATGCATAAAAATGACTGGACAGTAAGGTACACAGCCCTAACAGCATACGCTGTGCTCTATATCCCATCCCCACCCCCATTTTTCTCAGCATGTTACATCCTTGCCACAGGAATTTAATTGCTCTGTAAACAAGCCCATTGTTTTGTTGCACACTGTGTGCTCATTGAACTTGGAAGTATTAAAAGCTTCAGCCACACTATGAAAAGAATAGAACTCCAGATTAGTGCAAGGCAAAACAATGATAAAATGTTCCCACAAAAATGAAACAATTGCTCAAATGAAAGCAATATGATTGAGTAATGCTGAGTCTTTGAAGAGTGGAAATGTAGTAGATGCCATGGACAATGTGGCGGTTTTTCTGCTATATAAACATTTTATTTGTCTTAAAATTGTATTGTATTGTATCGTAAATTGTATTAAGACATTAACTGGGATATTTTGTAGTGACTATTTTTACTTGTGTGTCCGCAGACATATGAACGGCAGTTCAGAATGCCTGAGCAGAGAGAAGGAAGTCTGCTGCAACTTTTGGGAGATCCTTCCCCACCCAAGCACCAGCCCAGGGCCGCTCCCCTTCCTCACTCACAGCAGACGCCGCAATTCAACAGGCACGGGCTTACCCAGGACTGGCTAACATCGAGTGTGCCCTCCACAATACTTAACCATCCCAGTCAACCCGAGCCCCCCAAGACCACTCTGGATCAGACACAAGCTTTCTCACGCTCCGCTCACAGTCCTTCACCACAGAGATCTCTAACTCCAGATCTACAGCTGCCTGTGGTCACAGACGCCAGCATCCTCAACTTGACGTCTCTCAGCAGGTATTATTTAAATCAGTCTTTCACATAAAACTTTATAACTCATTTTGTGTGTTTTTCAGTTATCTCTGTTCATTTTCATTCGAACAAAATACCAGTCCTCTATATTAATATTACAATTTTGCATAAACATTTGAAACTGTGATTTAAAAAAAACAATTGATCAGTACTCAACTAGTCTAGACTTATTTAAGTAAAACAATGTTTATTTAAGTAAAGCAATCAAATATCTTTATCTCTTAGGTTATCTCTCAACATAACAGTATTTAGGGTAGCTTATGGCTACAATTTTATACTCTCTCAGTGCTGTCGTTTTTCATTTGCTATAATCCATGCATTGAATTCCATATGTTGTATAGGCTTATGTGTTTTTCTATTCTTTTCATATTCAAATGTATATATCTTCTCTCTGTAATCTCTAGGGGAAGAGGCTTGCAAGAGGTCAGTGAGCAGCTCTTTGGGAACATCAAGAAGAGGTATGGCAGGAGGGAGTCCCAGAAGATGCCAGCTAATCCTCAGTGTGGTGAAACCTCTTGGGAGAAGCAGCCAGGAAAAGACAGCCCAGCTCATTCGGAGGAGAGGTCAAAATACCGACACGAACACATAGGTGAACAGTATTCAGAAGAGAGAGAGGAGCGAACTCGAATGACAGAAGAAAGCAAAGGAAGAAAAAGACGGTGGAAGCCTTCTTTTGATGAATCTTTTCCCACAGACTCATCACATCTGCGGCAAGATGGCGACTCCACCGAGAAACATCAAAGTGGCCCGCCAGATCCAAAAGTAGCACACAAGAACGACCCGCAAAAGAACGAAACGCACTTGACAAGTAACAGGGATGGAAGTGGTGATAGAACGGAAAAAGACCGACCAGACAAAAGTGATAAAAGAGAGAAGGGTGAGAGGCTAGACAGGAATAGTCATGACCCTGACCTAAACAGAATCAAGAAAAACCCAGTGGGCCGTCTTGTGAATAGTACTGACTCTCTAAAGCCCAGAGACCTCACACATCTTAATTTGAGTAAACTCAGTCCATCTACAACTCCAAATTTCCCTAGCCCACGCCCCATCTCAAGCCCAAGAGCCAGCATGAGTCCTATCCCAAGCCCCAAACCTCGATCTAACAGTAGTCCAAGCCCAAGCCACAGCATCAGCTCCACAGGCAGCTCCAAACCAGGCAAAGGCAATGACAGATGGTCATACCTAAAGACTATGAAACACAGCAGTCTTCTATCACCCCAACGGGAAAACAAGTCAAGCCCCTCACCCTTCACGGATCCCCCTTCTCCTTTCCCCATCACTCCGTCCAGCCCTCTGTACACAAACACAGACAGCCTGACCGTCCATACGCCAATCAAGAGAAAACGAGGACGCCCCAAGAAGCAGCCACTTTTAACAGTGGAGACGATTCATGAAGGGACCTCAACCTCACCCCCAAGCCCGCTGTCCAAAGACGCAGTTCTGAACCGCAAACGGAACTTGCACACATTGGATAATTTGTCTAGCTCAAAACGTGGAAGAGGGCAACGTCCAATGAGTAGAGTCAAGCTTGGGAAAATGCAGAGTATCCTCAATGAGATTTTGTCTGGATCTAGTCACGGCGGTCTTCTTAGTTTGAAGTCTTCATCAGCTCCTGTTACTACAGCAATGACAGCAGTCGCATCCACAATAGAGGCACGTCTTGGAAAACAGATCAATGTTAGCAAGAGAGGGACTATCTATATCGGGAAAAAAAGAGGGAGAAAGCCACGAGCGGAAATGCAAGAATCTAAACCCATCAAGGAAAGAAATTTGTTTTCTGGTCTTCATGATAGCGCAGTGCCTTCCACCATCTCCTCTCCTTCACTAAGAGCGGATGCCTCTATGCCAAGTTTACAACCTATTTCTGCGCTACACTCTAAGTCGCTGGGGCGAAGTTTTCTCTCTGCAGGATGGAAGTTGTCACCACCGCGTCTTCTGGCTAATTCACCATCACATCTATCTGAAGGGGCATCTGTGAAGGAGGTGACCCTATCCCCCATCAGTGAATCTCACAGTGAGGAGACCATTCCGAGCGACAGTGGGATTGGTACTGACAACAACAGTACCTCAGATCAAGCAGAGAAGGGACCAGCCTCAAGACGCAGGTAAGCAAAACTATTATTAATGTTTTACTTTTTATCTTTGACAATGACAAATACAGTTGTGCTTGAAAGCGTACACACTCAGCCAAATGTCATTGTTTTATGAGATATATTTTGTAGATTTTTAATGATAGCACAAACACTTCTAACTGAGAAGCCATATATTGTCAAATAAACATGTTTCCTATTTTCAAACAATAACGTCATTGAGCCGCGTTGTGGGGATCTCAAATGTGCAGTTCATGCAAGGCGGCCCAGGAATGTACATAAACTGGAAGGTTTTTTCCAAGAAGAAGAATGTGTAGCTTTATCATCAGAACCACAAAAGGATCCAAGCTGTCATACATGTTAAAAGCATTTTACACTATTGGGATCTAGAGTACGGAAACTTGAAATCAAGATCAGAAAAGCAATTTCAATTTTTATTTATGAGTAATCTCCTAAATCTGTCTGAGTGTGTAACTTTGAAGTACAAATCTACAGTTCAAAATAGTCATCACAAATAAATAACTCTACTGTTATTGTATTCTTTCCCCTCTCCGCAGGTATTCCTTTGACTTGTGTGGATATGAGACTCCCGAGGCAGCAGCTCTTGACGCCTCCAGCAGAGATCGCAGGACGCACTGTGAGCTGCAGGTGACTTCAGCGGATAACTTCCTCACACAGCAGGAGAAGAAACAGAAACATCATCGGAGAAAGAGGAAGTGCTTACAGACACGCGATCATCTGCACTTTCTGGCAGAATTAGAAGAGGTTGGATAAAAACACATACGCAATGATCTTAAGTTTCCTCTCCTTTGTTAGTAACAACATTTTTTTTGGGTTTGTCCCTTCAGGTCGTCTTGAAGTTGCAACAATTAAGAGTATCTCACAGACGATACACTTGCTACCCACAGCATCCTTATCCCTCCATATTCCGGCTAAATTTCCACCATTTCTACCCTATGACCTATGACTCCTACCCATGTGAGCCAAGCCCCTACATGCGCCGCAGTGTTGAGTTGAAGGCAAAAAGGAGACGTGGTCGTCCAGCCAAAGCCAGCGAGCCAATCACTTCAAAGCTGCCTTTTGTACAGGGGTATGGCTATCCTCTAGCTGGAGGCAATTACTATGCTGCACCCTATGCCATGCCTTATGCTCCCCCTATGGGGCTTGGATATTTCTCTCCAGCACCACCATTTTACCTTCCCCACCCCTCCCTTGGACCAGGACCTTCATCGCCCTTCATGAGGCCAGCGGTCCCCCCACCAAAAGCTTACCATTCTACGGGCCACTCAAATCTCTCAAATCATCAGCCGGGGACCAAGCTCCATGGAGCAGCTGGTTCAATGCAAGGGCCTTCAGTGAGAACTGAGAGCTTAGGCAATAGCAATGCAGGTGGTCTTCGCCTTCACAAGAGGAAACACAAGCACAAACATAAGCACAAAGATGAACCGTTGCTGTCTCCACGCAACCACCAGGATCTGGGTGGACTCTTCAGTGGAGCCAAAGCAAATGCACGCATGAACATGATCTCAGACAGGAGAGACTTCAGTCAGGGCTTGTCCAAGCCACTGGAAAAGCAGAAAAACAGTGCACCAAGCTTTGGAGCATTTGGGGATGACTCGACTCAGCAACCCTCTCACCCTCTCCTGTACAACCAGTTCCACCTGTGTCAAACTGGACAACCAATCAAAAGCTTCTTGAACAGCTACAGTAGTGATTCACAGCAACCAGAGACAGCTCATGACCTTTTTCTGGGGTCACAAAGGGAATGCAATGGAAGAAACAAGAAGTCAAGGTTCAACCTCTTTGGAGATCAAGGCCTCACGTCATTTCACGCAACAACGCAGCAGCAACAGAGCAAGTGTGTCAGAAGCTCACTCACAGGTAAGAACATATACAGTTTGCTACAAAGACATTGTTTTGGTTGATTTTGACTTTGATGAATACTGTATGTGCTGCACAGTATGGAAGTGAGGTAAATAAAGAGAACAGGGAGCAGACAACAGAGCAGGAAAGCCCTGTCTCAGAAACTGGAATATATTTTGGTACATTTTGTATTCGGTCGTCTTGAGCACATCTGGCTGGGATAGAAAGAACGTAATGCATGGATAGAGATGACTATAATTCACCAATCTCTCCGTCCTCTCCCTCCCTCTGCCGCTGCCAATGCCTTTGCCAGAGATATATTATTCACACAGTGTGATTTATTTTCTACAGACACGCCGTAAAAGGCCCTTGCCTGTGTTAAAAGAGCTGGCTAGCAGCCAGGGGTTTAATGACTGGGGCCTAGTCCAGTAGTAAGGGAGGAGAAGCCAGGGGCTCAAAGTACACCCCCACCCCAGGGGAACCGGTACGGATGACTCACGTAGATCCCCCAACCATCCCCCTGGTTAAGAAGCTGCAGTCTTTTTCTATCTTTCCTCCTTCTCGTCCTTCCTGGTCCCTCTTGAGCTGTTTGTGCACTTCATGCCCTTGCTCTGCTCTTGTTCCTCCCCCTATCCCACATAAACACATCTATGGTGAGTTCTCTTCCCTCTGTGCTAAATCTACCATCCCCCTTGTTTCCCCATTACCCTTCTCCTCCTCATCCTCTCTGCCCCTCCTCTTCCAAGACTTACTGCTTCACTTAACAGCTTTAGTCCAATTAAAAAATGAGCGCCTGTACCTAAGAAGCACATACAGTATATAAGCACTATTGCTATTACTATTACTTAATGCACTTCTGCCAAGGCTTTTCTATAACTTAGATGTTGTTGCTCTCAACACATTTGGATTTTTGTGTACTGCCTTCCTATCCCACAGAGAAACAGGTCCTCTCTGCTATATGGCCCCTCTCACTGCTGAAGGTCACCGGTTTTATGTTCCGTGTATGCAGCTCATAAATTTCTGCTACTTTGTGTGTGTGTGAGAGAGCTGGATGGGAGCACACTTGTGTGTAGCTCATAAACTACTGCTACTTAGTGCTTTCTGCATTAGACTAATTTCACTGCCTGGTCTGAATTCTTCAGCAACAAGGTTCCCTTAATGGAAGTAGCTCATCTTTTTTTCTCATTTTCTTTGACACCAAATGCTTCAATACTTCTTCATCTTGGATGTGTGTTATCTTATTTCCTTTATATGTTTTGTGAAGCCTTAGGGTTTGACAATTGTAGACAAGCAGCTTTGGGTGAAAGCGAGAGGGTTTGGTCAGGGAATCCAACAACTGCAGTAAAAGCTCATAAAAGCGACCTTGCATGTTGTGCACACCGCTCAGGGACTGGTGTCTGATTGTGCTTTTCCTCCATTTTGGCTGTGCCTCAGTCTCAGCCCTGGGAACTGTGCCCAGACAGAGAGGAGGGAGGAGTCTCCAAACTAGACAGGGATACAAACAAAAAGAATGACAGACATGGACCAAGACCAGGAAGCATTTTTGACACTGAGAAGGAAATGGCTTATGGAAATGCTACTCGACTAATTGAAATTGGGAAAATGTAAACTGGTGTTCAAGGGTTGAGTAGAACTGAGAATTATGAGCAAGAAAGGCACAGCATGCAAGGGGCATAGTGCCCAATCACCAGTGTGAGGGAAACAATATGGCTCCAATTTCTTGAGCTCAGCTCCTTTGAACTGCTGAAGCCTTGGTTTGTGTCCTTTCACTTGTGTGGATGTGTAAGAAGATAAATGCATCAGTATGCATGTTTGTAAGCGGCATTCTGGCCGTCTGTGCTCCAGATGCGCAAGGTTGTAATTGTGTAGCAACATTAAATGGTTGAAGGAGACATTTCTGTGGATTTCCTGCTTAGCAGAATGGGATCTCATCGCCCCTCTCCTTACAGCTCTCTTATAGTCAATTACAGGATAGGATATGCTCTCCTGGCTCAGCTGGGTTTTCAAAAGCTACATGAATATGACCGAATTAGCAGGAAGCTCTTGACAGAAAAAGTGTCTTTTTATGAATTCATCTAGACTGCAATATTACCAATCTGCTCAACTATATCTGCCTTACTAAATAATACATTTCTTATGATAAATTTCTTTGTTCACAGGTGCTGCTGGTAAGCGGAGATACAAGCGTCGTGAAGTGGAGCAGATCCAGAATAATGCAAGAAGGATGCATTCACTAAACTTTGAACATGTGCAGAAGATTCTCCGTGCCAAGCGCCTACAGCGCCAAGCCAAAACAGGAAACAATGTCATCAAGAGAAGACCAGGACGACCCAGAAAGCAGCCTTTAGAGTCTGTGGTGGCCAATGAGCTGGAGCAAGGCTTGGACCTGTTGTCTGAGAGCAGAGCTGATGGGAGGACACTGGGGATGCCTGTACTGGAGAGGTGTGATGACCTGCCAGGCAGGCCGAGTGTCAGGCCCAGTCTGATCCCAGAGGCACTGGAATTTTCCAATCACGACTCAATTGCAGCCACAATAGAGACAGTGGTCCATCAGGCCACTTCTGTACCTCCAGCCAAAGTTGGGAAACGTAGGGGCAGAGCCCACAGTCGGGACGACTTGTGGGCACCGTCTAGTCAGTAGTTTGACAAGAATCAAAAACTCTCTAAATCAGCTCAGCACAGGTGGGAAAGTGAGCTGCAATGCTCTTATTCTGTGACTAGTGGTGCACTTTGGGTAGTTTTTCTTCTCAGTATAAGGTTAGAAGAGATAGGAAGAAGAGACACTTCTTGTGCGATTCCTTCTCTTCTGCTACAATCTAACCACAAGCATTTTTGGTTTCCCCCGATCTTTATTTAACATGGTACTATATGGTACTTTCTTTGAACTAGTGCTATTGAAATCTATACATTCTTGGTCCTGATAGGGTAGGATAATAACGTCATTCTTTTGTTTGTAATATGGTGATGTGTATGGTCCTTTATGATGCTATTTGAATGTGGCTTTAGCCATATATTTACCAGCAGGGGAACGGGAAAGTTGTATGAAGCTGTGTATCTCTGCTTATCATTGCCTTTCTATGAAAGTTTGTCAAAGATATGGATTACAGCAGTATTAAAGCCACCTTGCTCTTATACCTGGTCCCCTCAATATTATTTTTTTCAAATCAGACAAAAGTTTTTATATCTTATCTTTATCTCCAATAGATAGTGCCGTGTCTTTAGACAAACCATCGTTTTCTCGGGCCTCTTTGGTGGTGATTAAAAGGCAATATGGTGAATGAAAATGCTGAGACTGTATATAAAAACAATGTTCATTTTGCCTGCCTTGTACAATGGAAAACCAGCTTATATGTACTGGCATTAAATATGTCAATTAGATCTGTTGTACCATAGACAATGAAAGATGTGTATTGTTTTATAACCAAAATCGGACATGGGTGTGACTCAAAACAAGTTTGTTTTCCGAACCACATACTCAATTAAACTTTCATTACTGTACTGTATATATCTAGATGGCATTACAGTAAAAAACTGAATCAGGTGTTATTCTTGGACAACCTTAGAATTGGTTTAATGCACTATGAAACATACCCTTGCATCAATCAAACGCAGCACTTATATGCTAGTCCCAGCCTTATGTTTGATCCTCTGTGATGGGGAACCAGTGCAGAAAGCATGCATTATTTTAATCAAATTGTATATGCAGGCTACGCAGCCAAAAGCGTCAAAGCATTTGCCCTGATTAAATAGGGGCGCCCGATATTTTTTTCAATGAATATCCCAGCTTTTTTTTCTATTCGACTTATTTTGATTCATAGTAGTAGGTATAGAATCCAAAGTAACAAAACACATTTTGCTATAACAGAATGATTTTGTTAAATTGATTACTTGTCGCAGGCCCCAATAAAAAGCATTCCTCCATAACTCAGAATGTAGCTATCCTGAATGTTCATATGCTGACAGTATGCTTCTTCACATTCATTTGTGGCACAGAATAGAGCTTGGCTTTTTTCACACTTTTATTTCACAATAGAAGTAAGTAAGCATAGTGTGTTTCATGTAGACATATCAGTGTCAGCTATTCAATTGTGCCTTATGTTTTCTTTCATTGGTTTAACTTAAAGGTACAGTATGGAAGATTTGAATTCTATATAGTGTCCCTGGACACAAGTGCAAATCATATTTGGCCTTTTCTGATTCAAAAGTGAATACTGATCTATCCGTATGAATGTTACTAAAATAATGGCCACATTATTTATGTTAACATTTAATGTTTATCAAATTAGAAAAGCTGAATTAACACATGATTCTCTCATTTGGGTTGCCAGTTTTTTGGTTAAATCCAGCTTGGTCTCTAGGTAAAACTATAGCAGGTGTGCCAAGGGACACGGGCAGCAACTGTTTTGATTGTTATCAACGTTATTAAATCAGTAAGAACGAAAAACAACATACTGTTCCTTTAAACAGTGTTAGTGTGGCCTGATCCAAAATACGAATGTGTCTTAGGGTGCGTTCACCATTAGTCCCAAGTGAAACAGAGTTCACTTTAACCTCCTGTTCGGCAACCCCGCTCCCGTCTCTGTGTGGAGTGAGAGGACACATGCCCAAAAAAATAACAATTGTAAACCGCTTTGTGACTCTGGTCTGTGAAAGGCGGTATATAAATAAACATTACTTACTTACTAACTGGACCACTTCTGGTTCACTTGGGACAAACATGCTTAATTTGTGGAGATGAAACCACAAAGTGTGCCCTGATCCATTAGTCACATACTGTGATCTGTTCACTTCTTTGGAAACAGATTAGTGCATTATGACTGCTGTTGCGTTTGCTTCTGAAGTGAACCAAGTCCACTTGGCCAATATGTGTGAACGCACCCTTTATCTAGATAATGCCATTGTCTCCCACTTCTCTGCCTTCAGTCACTTAGATGTCATTGTTGCTCACATATCATATTTCCCTCCTTTAGGCCTCCTTCAGCTGACTCAGTATCATCAGTCATTGGACAGCTAAGTGCTGGGCAGAATAGCAGCAGATGATGTTGCCATGGAGAACAAATGCTGCTCATACATTGTTGTTTGCTATGCATCAGGCCATGCCTCACAATGACCTTACAAGGAAATTTAGTTCTGGGTCCACCCATCAAAAAGTTGTATTTTCATGCATATTGAAAGAAATGTGAATACTAGTACTTTTTTGTGCAGAAAGTGACTATCAACATGAACTATACTTACTGCAGCTCCATGCAGTACAGCCTTAAGCAGATGTAATAATACAGTATTAAAGTGTTGTACTTAGTGTTATTACCTCCATCCGTATGAATGTTGGCTAAGCTTTGCTAGGCTCAGGCTGTTCCCTAACTTGCCAATCATCTATTCTCTTTTGAAATCACAGTTGTGTTCCATCTTTTATTGGAAGTCCTTGGCACAGTCCTCTAAAATCTACTTCACAAAATGACAAAAATGGGGTATGTATCACAGAATTAGGAAACCAGAGATTTTAGGAGTTTATCGTGAGTAATCCTACTATAGTCCTGTGTCATACAGTGTTAAATGGGGACTATGCTCCATGAGACTTGAAGAGCCAGGAGTCAAGTTTGTCTTGTCTGTCTTTTCTACCAGCCAATGCTCCGGTGCCTTCTAACACTGACAAGTATTGTCCAAACCCAGAGTTTTCACTTTACACAGAGACTACAGATGCTCAATGTAGTGGCGAGAGTTACTGTGGAGTTTCTCCGTCAGTTTGGACCAGAGGCTCCAGGAGAAACGCTGACCGGATGTCAGTGACTACATCGAGGGCAAGGCAGCTAGATGGTTGTGTGGGGACCTCCACAGCAGTTGTGTGTTGTCATTCTCACATCACCCAGATCTAAGCTATAATGTTCAAAGCTGGAAATGCAGACAATTCTTTGATGACAACCAACAAATGTACTTGTTTTGAGCACAACGACAGCTCTTCTAACTGTGTGGGCATATTTGAGTTTGTATACAACCTACTACTATATCAAAACCTTTTCTAAAGTGGGTTTTCATAATTTGCATGCTTGTATGCATACATATTTTAAACAAGGCAAAATTTGAATTTCAATTACTTCTGGAGCAAAACTTGTACATGGTTTGATATGTTTCTTATTGTAATATTTTTTTCAATTCATAAAGCATTTTTGTACATTGTATTAATATTAAAAAAACTGCAAATATTTGACATATAGAGTAAGATACTAGATACGCATGCATATGCATATATCCTTCAGGTATATATGTGTAAATCTACTCATATATTTTGTATTTGCATTTGATCACATACAGATATATGTCTTAAGCACATATGTACATGTAATATATGTATATCCATGTCTGCTGGCATGTTTATGAACTTGTAGGTTTATTTCTGTATTGTATAATTTCTCTTTCCTCAGAAAGAAAAGCTCATTATTTTTGCTAACCTTATGTTGGCTGGCAGCATTGAGCACTTATAAAGAAGAACTACGTCACAGTTGTTCATGTCATCCATTGTGTGAAATAATAAATGACTTTATTGACCTATCATGGTGGCACTTTTTGGGGGGAATTATGTTTCACAAATATTCAAATTGTTTGGCAGTCTGTTAGAGCCAGATCTAGCTGCAGGATGCAGCTCGATTAGCGTTGTGTTGAAGTATATGAATCTTCCAGCCCATCGAAGCGGCAAGTAGTGGTTGAGAGCAGGTAATCCTCTCCCTCTCATTCTGTACACATGCCTGCACTGCACTCTCATGTTGATTAGCTCAGCCTACATCTCTAAATCCTGCCTGGCCACACAAGTCCAACACTGACAGGTCTTGGAGGGTTGGGCTGCTCGCTGCCTTCTCATTGGATGAGGATAAGTGGGAAGTGCCCCACTATTGGCTGCAGCCAACTAGTAAAATTCTTCTGTTACCATGGTTGCAGGGTGAGCTGCCCAAATGTGTGTATCTTGTGGTACTGATGGTAGAGTTGGCACGACTGAGCCCAAGCAGAGAAAAAAGTCAAGGCTGCATAGACGTAGCACCCAGAGCACACCACACTCATCCCTGTAAATGAGCCCACATGGCTGGGTGCAACTCCTCCATCATGAGCAGAGCACCTGCATCAGTAAAACAGCCACCGCAGGAGAGAAGCACCATGAGGTCGAGAGCCGCTACACTTGACAGTTCAAAGCACAGATTTCTTCTCAAGTTGCACCGTCATCTTGAGTGTAATCTTACAACGCTCAGTGTGCTCAATGAATTTCAATGACATCTGCAAGCCATATAACATTCTATCACAAATGAATAAGCCCAGTAATTTAGACAGAGATACACTGCACACTGTGGAAGTGTGGAAGATGTCACAGGATTTGTGGTCAGTGTTGTTGCACATTACTAAACTAACTTGACTCAAGTTACATACATGGTTTAATTTAGGTCTGCAAAAAATGACATAGATACAACCAGCTATTGAAAAAAATCTACCAAAACATAACAAACAATTAGAAAAAACACACAGAATGACCAACACAAAGTCTATTCTGATCACATGCTGTATAGCAATACAAACATACTACTACTACTACTGGTAATGTACTGTTAACATACCCAACACTGTTAGTATCACACAATAAATGAGTATTAGTCACTTCCT